TGTGTTTGTTCTAATAAAGCTATTTCTTTGAATAAACAGTATGTGGCAAATGTTCCTTTCCTCAATAAATTCATGTCCTTGATGGTAATAATAATTTAGTCCATAGGATAACAATGACATGAATAAACAACATAATAGCATATCATATGAATATGAATATATATATATATATGATTATTATTATTATAATTTTATGTCGGCTGACCAATAGTAACAGATCTGCCAACCAATCACGAGTGATTTTCTTGTTTAAATGTAGTGAATTTCAACCAATACTGAGTGAGGAAATTCAAGCCATTCTCTGGCAAGGCGCGCGCAGTGCTGCTATTCATATGCTAATTAGGGCCATTCGCACCTCCGCGAGCGCTGCATGCATACGTCATGGTTCGTTTCCGTCAATATGTGGCACAGTGGAACGCGACGTTCACAGTCTGTAAATTGTCGTTAACTGCCGAAAATTAGGGAGATTTCCGGCAGTTTACGGGGACGAAAATCCCACTTTTCATGCAGTGTTACAACCGAGGTATGCAGCAAAGCATTTGTGAAGCCATGATGGGCTATTACAACAGCAGAAGACCCCACTGGGTACCACTCATCTCCAGTACAAATAGGACAAAGAGGCTACAATTTGCAAGAGCTCACCAAAATTGGACAGTTGAAGACTAGAAAAATGTTGCCTGTTCTGATGAGTCTTGATTTCTGTTGAGACATTCAGATGGTAGAGAATTTGGCATAAACAGAATGAGAACATGAATCCATCATGCCTTGTTACCACTGTGCAGGCTGCTGGTGGTGGTGTAATGGTGTGTGGGGACATTTTCTTGACACACCTAGTGCCAATTGGGCATAGTTTAAATCCCATTATTTCTGACCATGTCCATCCCTTTATGGCCACCATGTACCCATCCTCTGATGGCTACTTCCAGCAGGATAATGCACCATGTCACAAAGCTCGTATTTCATTTCATTTCATTTCAAATTGGTTTCTTGAACATGACAGTGAGTTCACTGTACTAAAATGGCCCCCACAGTCACCAGATCTCAACCCATTAGAGCATCTTTGGGATGTGGTGGATTGGGAGCTTCGTGCCCTGGATGTGCATCCCACAAATCTCCATCAACTGTAAGATGATATCCTATTCATTATGGGCCAACATTTCTAAAGAATGCTTTCAGTACCTTGTTGAATCAATGCCACGCAGAACTAAGGAAGTTCTGAAGGCAAAAGGGGGTCAAACACAGTTTTAATATGGTGTTCCTAATAATCCTTTTGGTTATTGTATATTGTTTGCAGAAAACATGTATGAGTAAAGTAACAAAGATTACTAGTGAAAGCAAAGCCAAGGGTGAAGTATGTTTTAAAGCGCCACGCTTAAAGAACCACAGGAAGTCTTAGGAGTTACCACTTCCTGTATCTTGCAAGAAGCCCTCTCAGCCTCACCTCATTCTATGATTGATGTCTTTTGAGTTGCCATCAGAAACAGGAAATAATTGTTTAAAAGCATCAAATCATCTCCCTCTTTAGTTACTTAAAGTCAAGGAAATGAAAAATGAATTGTAACAAACAAGAGAGGGGAAGAGAGAGAGACTGGAGATCATTTTATTCAATGGGATTTGATTGAATCATGAAAAGTTGGTGTTAAAGGCGGGTGAGAGTGCACGTCTGAGTAGCTATTTGGCTATTATATTTTGATTAAAGATCATGAAGAAAATGTTTTACCCCTTTGGAATAACATGCTCTGATGAATCATTTACAATAAGACCTAATGTGATTTTATTTAGATTTAATGTTGACTTTTAAAGCATTTGAATCTCGTTTAAAGCACTCTAATCTAAAAGCTACAATCCATTTGGCCCAAAGCTATGTGTTCCTGCTCTTGAAACATTAGTGTCATATAATTTGCCTGAAGTTTTCAGAGGAGAATGGGCTCCCCCAGTTGAGCCCGGTTCCTCCCAAAAGTTTCTTCTCTCATCAAACATCTTTGAGCTTTTTCTTTGCTGTTATAACCTTAGATTTATTGACTTCTCTGAACAGTGGAAACACTGTGGTTCTGTGGTGTTTTCAAAATGCATCTCTGCTTGTTTGAGCGGTAAACCTCTGGCTCAAGCATTAGTTTGAGCTGGACTAATTGTAGATATTTTACTAGTTTGTACAGAGAGAGGTAGACAGGGAAAGGAAAAGGTCATTCATCTTATGCTGCACATTTCATAAAAAAAAAAAAAAAAAAAACAGAATATAGTATGTAATTTAAAGAAGTATTTTAAGGGTATCAAACGGTCAAAAATGTGTTTATGTAGTGATTATTTTTTATTTTTTTTAATGAATAGCCTATTTCAAAAGACCAAGTAGATGGATAGTGAAATTGAACACAATGGCTTTTTTTGATAATATTTTAAATTGGAAAAGAAACTATTTAACACCAGTAATATTAAAAAATAAAGCTAATTTTCATTTTAGAAGGAAACACCTGGGGAAACTGATTTGCTTAAACCAAATGGATGAGATTATTTAAAATGATTCATGCTCATGAAATCATTATGATAACAGAAGACTATGTTGAACTTCCACTCGTTATCCACCTCAAAAGTAGTTCATTTTTCATTCTTTTTCAGTATTGATGTAATCTCATGGGGAACAGGAAAAAGGCTGGAATAATAAAATAATTTTGTGATTAGATCATTCCAGTCAAACCTAGCTGTATCAACTTGAGATGGGGAGCAGCAGGTCAAACATTACTGGTAGGAGTTTAGCTGTAGCTTTATTTGTGGAGTTTAGGTTGAACATAGCAAGGGCTTTTGGCTATGTAATTCTAAGACATTAACACTTGTCAAATTGTTTCTTTTTTTTTCTTTAGCCTGACTGAAATGAAAAGAAATGCTGCTATGTTCAGATGTCCATCCTGACCAAACAACCCTGTGGCCTCTTTCTGAATCACAGACGATTCTCAACGTCTTCTAATATAACTGATATTCAGTCTAACATTTACAGTAATCACATTTACTGTAATCACATTACATTGAACACTAAATGCCTTATTTATTATAGATTGTATATTTTAGTAAAGCATTTTTTACTTAGCCAAACTGTTCTAAATCATACTCTTACATGTTAACTAAATCTAAGCTGACTACCTTCATATGAAAGCTGATATTCTGTAACAATAGAAAAGTCAATAAACATACAAAATGTTATTGTTAGATTTACAGATGCTTTGATGTGTGTAATAAAAATAACAAAGTTTTATCAGGTGAAACAGTCTTTTAGACATGAGCACCCTTTTGGCTTTTGGTGTGAATTTATTGTCTTGATGTTTGGATTAAAGATATTAAAGTATTACAAACTTTTTCCCACTAGAGGGAAGTACTCTCATAGTTTACAACCAGTGCCATTCTGAAATGGGGTATTTCCTTTCTCATTCCCATTTATATTCACACGTCTATGTGTTTTGTATAAAGTTCTCTGAAATCTTTGAAAATAATAAAGCAAACATGCACTTTGTTAATCAAACTGTGTTTCACTGTCGGTCTCAATATACTGCATTTAAGATTGAATTGTTAAAAGACAACAAATAGGTGATTCAGAGGTTTTCATTAACCCTCTTAACATAAAAATAATAATAAATAAAACCTCATGGTCTACAGCAAAGTTCATAATGTTACAAAGTTTTTGGAAAACTTACAGTGTAGTATTTTTGAACAAGTTATATTTTTTCTTCAAATTATGTTATGTTTTTTATCTTTTTCTGATCACACTGGTTTTTATATCTATTCCATGATATATTTTTTTCTTTTTTGTGGATGGTAGATTAATTTCTTAATCATCTCAAACATTGTTCTGTAGCATCAGGGCCAAGGTGTAGTCCACATGCTCTTAGTAAATAATGGTCATAGTGCACCCAGAAATGAATGTTTGTGTTTGTGTTGGTTAAATATCTTTTCTTCGTGGTTTTATATTTAATTTATTAAAGAAAATGTTTATAACAATCAGTGATTTACAAAAGAAAATAAAACAATAATACAAAATTAAGCAAGTGTGGAGTAATATCTTCCACCGTATGTCATATTACTATGTTAAAGCAATTGGAACTGCAATATATACACTGAATTTCTTTATGGTTAGATCACAAAAAAGTTGACTCAAAGACCACATGACAATGCTTGAAGATTCAGAAGCATACAAAAGAGCTTCCTCTTCTTCTGATGTATAGTTTCTTAGACACGATATATGACAGAGGTCAGCAGGTCTGAGTTCAGGCAGAGATGAGGAGGAAGAAGCAGGTCACCTTTTTGTGTTTTTATGCACTGAATTGGAAACAGGACATTTATTAATGCATTCTTCAACATAATATAAAAAGTTGCACTGAATAAAATGAAAACATTTGATACCTGATTTTTACATGCCATGTCTTTTGCTGTCGATTTTCTCCCTAAAAAAAGTTGTTGTTTTTTAAATCATATGATCAAAAGGAAAAGTATGATTTTAAAGCAGCTGTAGTTAAAGCACTCGAACCATTCACCTTGGCGTCTAACAATATAAAGTAATGTTACTGCCATAACTAACACCAGCCCCGCTATTCCAGTCCAGATGCCCGCAAATGGCCAGACCCACTGCAGATTATTCTTTGGAGATGTATTCATATCACCTATTATTGTAGGCATTGAAGAGATAATATCATGTTTTGTAATGGCCATGATGCTCGGAGTCACTGAAAACTCATCCTGTTTATCTGCTAAAAAATATTAGCAGATTATTATCTTTAAAAAACAAAAAATTACCTACATAATAGTTTCAAATTAACAAACAATAAAATGTCTGTATATTTACATTTACCCAATAAAATATAATGTCACTTACCTGTTACAGTGACATTAATAGCATGGGTAATAGATTTGTCACCTTCTTTACATCTGTATAAACCTGCGTCCTCCATTGAGAGCTTCAGGAAAGTCAGGAAAAACATCCCTTCATGCTCCGCCATAGTCTTCCACTCAGTTTCATAATTTGAGTGATTTAAAGCTTTACAGTCATTTTCATAGATTTTGCACCATGAGACTTGTGGGCTCCTGCGACATCCTTCGCGTTGAGTAACAGTACAGTTTATCTTCAACTTTGTCATAACACGAGCTCTAAACACTGTGCTTCGTGGCACTCTGATCGAATGGGCACATTGCAGCTCCGACCCTACAAGAGTAAAGGAAAGCAGGACAAAAGGTGTTTTTTTTTTTTTTTTTTTGCATACTGAAGATGAAGATCAAGCAGAGGAATAACTTTCAGTAACACTTTATAATAACCTTCATTAAAAAAAGTTACAAGCATTATATAGGCTAATGCTTAACAGATCATTAGTTAATATTGACATGGCTAGAAATATGAGATAATGCACTACTTAATGTTTACTAATCAACTTATTAGAAATAATGATTAACTAGTATTTAATGTAAATCTAAATGCTTATAAATGTCATACAATTTCAATTCATAGGATAATGTTTTTTTTAGAGAGTTTACAATAATGGTTAAAAGCTTTAATTAATAAATTATTAACAGACATTATATAATGCTTAACGGATCATTAGTTAATATATAAAAGCTGAGATAACTTGTTCATGATTAAATTAAATAATTATCTGTTAATCATTATGTAATATTTAATAATTTAATCTAAATAAATGCTCATTAAACTTCAATTCATATAACAATATTTTAATTTAAGCACTTCACAAACTATTCATGTTAACGTATCATCCATTAAGTCATAACCACAGTCTGTAAATGTCTTAAATGTTTCTGACATAATAGTTAATGATTCCTTATATAAACTGGGACCAGTCATTCTTATATTGTTACATTTTCTCTTGAACATCAGTATCACTAGATTAAAAAAAAAAAAAAGCTATAACACATTTTTTTTGTATTTGTACATTTGTAAATGTAAAAAAAGTGCATTAGGTAATAAGCTATATGAACTGAAATTTTATGACATTTTGTAGATTTTCAAGAATAATGCATGGTCATATAAATTTAAAGTTAAAGACATTTGTAAACATAATAATTTACATTAAATAATTATGTTAATTAATCAACTGTTTAATAAGTTAATTAGTAAACATTAACAAGCACATTATCTCATATTTCTAGCTGTGAATTTAACAATCTAATTTAACGGTTTGTTAATTTATTAATGAAAGTTATTATAAATGACAGTTACTGTAAAGAATGTTTAGTGGTGAAAGCTTTACTGGACACATTTTCAACCTTGCATGTTTCTACAAATGGTGAAACACGCTCTAGTCAAGTCAAGTCACCTTCATTTATAGCGCTTACAGATTGTTTCAAAGCAGCTTTTCAATGATAACGGAAAAAATAATGCAACAATGTTTGTTTCAGGGCTAGAAGAAAATAACATCACAATCCAGATTAAGTAAGTTTAGTGATGGTTCTACCAGAATTGTTTAGATTTTTTTTGGTAGCACTTATGTTTAGGGTCCAATTCTCACTTTTGTTATTAGCATGCATATTAGAATATTGGCAGTTTATTAGTACTAATAAAGCACATATTAATGCCTTATTCTGCATGACCATATTCCACATCACTTAATCCTACCCAATTCCTACTCAATACCTAAACTTAACAACTACCTTATTAATAAACAATAATTAAGAGTTTATTGAGGCTAAAGTCAAAGTCAGAATTGGACCTTAAATTATAGTGTGATCTTTTTTTTCCATACAGGTGGTGTATGTAAAACTGATATTTACCGCAGGTCCTGCACCCACCACGTCTATTAGCGTAATGCAGTGCATTAATGTATAAAATAGGTTTTATTTTCGCTTATTGATTATTTTGGTTATTAATTTTAAGTCATATGTTTTTCATATAAATGTTTTATCTAAGAAGGGTTCATTATTTATTTGTGTGCGTACTATCAAAAATATAAACAAAAATGCCGTTATTCAAGTCTTATAAGCAAATCTACCAGCAAGTATACAATATAAATAATGATAATTTTAAATAATAATTATATATGATAATATTATGTCATTGTCTGTATTTTTTTCCCCCGCGGCAAAAAAGAATTGCACTCATAACATTATATTTAACACATAATGCATCTTAAACATCTCATTAACCATGCAGTATCAGTCAAAGCAGATCTTAATACTTACGGTTTGTGGTGCCACTGACACTAAGCGATAGCAGAAGGAGAGAAACGGCAAGGTTGCAGTGGATCTGGAAGACAAAGTAGCCCATGCATTGTTGAACATCTCTTATTACAAAATATGTATTTAAAAGTTAATATACAAAAATGAAAGCTGTAAATTTAGTTTGTCGGGAGTGTACGTCCCTCACCATTGTCTATTTTCTTGTATTTGTTGATTATTATGTCTTCACCTCCTTGGATCAAGTGCTTTTCACCTGTTTCTCTGCAATTATTTTTATACTTGTTAGTCGGTTTTGTGCCTGTCTCTGTCAATGGCGGACAGAGCAGTCAGAGACACTCCCCATCTCTCTGTCTAGACCACAGAAACTGGGAGGGCCGGGCAGGGGCCACTTTTATCTTAAATGTATAGTTCCATCATCATTTACTCATATCATTGTAAATGACTTTCTTCTTTTGAACATTCAAAAAAAAAAGTTATTTTGAGAAATGTCTCAGGTATTTTCTTTTTTACTTAATTTGTATAGTATGGTTTGTAGTGTGCAGCTTTGTTCTTATTTTTAATAACAAAGATAAAAATAATGAAATAAAGATTTTTATATTTGCCCACTATTGCCTATGGTCTGTCTTTAATCTTAATATATATATATATTTACCTTTCAAGGCTTTTACATAGGGACATAAGTGTGGCTGTATGCTGTACTGCTTCATGTGCCAAATAGTAAAAAACAATTTTTAAAAAATTGTGATAAAATCATGAATCATGATTTTTCTGAGAAAAATATTTTTTGCCACCTCTAAAAGATAGTATAACAGAAGAACAGCATTACAATGCCACACAAAAAACAACAACGAAGAAGTACATGAGCAACCGTGACAAAATGCGTTAAAAAGGGAAGTCCGCTGAAATTAAAAATTCCTGTCCCTTCTACAACAACCTGGATGAAATTTTGGGTGCAAGCCATGTCCTTGTCTGACAGATGTTGTCGAAGATCGAAGTGTGTAGATGCAAAATGCACAGAAAGTTCTTTTGAGGTTGTGTTGTGAACAAAAAAGAGTCTCAGATCACGCTAACACTTTACAATATGGGAGCACTAATATGCATTAATTCATGTTTAACTAATGAATCATGATTTAATCTGTGACTCATGAAGAACTAAACCATTAATTAATGTTTACTGCATCAGGAACTAATAAAGGGTCTATATGATTAATAGATTAAGTAATACATGTATTGCTATTAATTCAAATGTCATTGTGTATTAATTCCTTAATAACATATTTTATTAACTAATTGTGTAAATTAATGTGTTAATTACCACAATTAGTCAACGGTATGCACTCTTCTTTAATTAATCATTAGCAAATGATTTGCAAAATTATCATTATGTTATGACTTTACTTGTTGAGGCACATGACTATTAACTAATTAATAGTTAATAGTCAAGATGCTCCACAGTCGCGACTAACTTTGACTTGACAGAGATGTGAGTATGGCATGTACTTTTTTAGACTGGTGAGCAAATAAAACTAATCAATGTTATTTCAACATGATGAAATGTTAGTATATGTTATAAGTTTGATCTAGATTACCGTACTTAGTCTCATACAGCCAACAGACAACCCAACTAACAACCTCCAACACTCAAATGCTATTTAGTGTGATCTTGTAACTGTTAAAGCAAGTGAAACTGTTATGCAGGTAATGAGGACCCAAAAGCGAGGTAACAGAAACAGAGTCTTTTAATGTTAAACCAGGGTAGATACAGTGAAGCAGACTGATCTTCTTAATCAGTAATGAGAAAATAAACAACCCGCAGAGAGGGCGACAAAACAGAACACAAAGTCACTGGTGATCTCCAAAAAGTCTCTTAGGCAGCCGAGGAGAATATCTGGGTTACGGCGACAGGCTGCAGGTCTCACAGAGAAGACGCGGGCCAAAGAGAGAGAGAGGGTACCAGTTTGTCGTAGCCTCAGGAGAACTGGACAGAGTAAACGATCAGAAGATTAGCTGAGAGCAGGTAGCACTAACCAGACGGACGCCAGCAGGACACAACAGGACAGAACAAAGGTGAAACCAACGAGACAGTAGTTTGCTTCCAGAATTAGATACTCAAAAGAGAATCTGACAAAGAACGCAGCAGGAACAGGGAGAGAAATAGAGAACTAATCAGTAGAGAAAGGGAACAGGTGGAAAGAGGGAGAACGAGGTAGTCAGAGGAGATGAGGAACAGCTGGGAGAGCGGAGAAAGAGAAAGTAACCTATTATGGCCAGCAGAGGGAGACAGCAGGGGCGTCACTAGGCCCTTTTTAGGGGGGCTTCAGCCCCCCTAAACTTCTGCCCAGCCCCCCTAAAAATTTGTTTATTAATTCATTTGTGATCGCTTGGTCCCCTTTAAAAACTCATTTGAAAAGAGCTGCGTCAAGTTTCGGCTCCTCCCCTTATCCGAGTCTCTGTGGATTCAGCGCGTTTTCTAATCTGCACTTCTGCAGGGTCGCCGAGCAGAGCGAACGTCAGAGTACAGGTATGTGTGTGCATTTATTGATAGATCGCTATTGCTATGATATGACATCGGTGCAGTTTTTTGTCATAAATCCATTGCAGTTTACATAATGTTACTGGAGCAAAACAGGACGGTTCGGTTTCTCATCCAATAGAGGGAATGCACTGAGTCACTTTCCCGCCTGAACAACCCCCCAGCCTGACTGAGTGGCAAAAGATATTACAGTGTTCTATAGCTCAGTCAGTACTCCTACTTATATGAAATAATAAATGGAATAGTGGATTGCAATAAGGTTAGTAGTATACAACCCTACCCTAATAGTCAAACAATATTTTTTAATCATACCCTCATTGGGGGCTGAGCCCCCCTAAAATGAAAATCCTAGAATCGCCCCTGGGAGACAGAGTAAAGAGAGAGAACAAGACACAACACGACAGGACATGACAGTACCCCCCGCTCAACGAGCGCCTCATGGCGCTTCTGAGGAGGAGACCTGGCGGCTACGGAGGAAATCATCGATCAGTGAACGGTCCAGCAGCCAACCAACTCCTCTCCTCCGGTCCGTACCCCTCCCAATCTACCAGAAACTGATGCCCATGACCCCGCAGACGCATGTCCAGAATCTTGCAACTTCGCTTTTGTGGCAGTGTTCAGACTTGTTCAATTGTCCAGGAAGGTTGTCTGATGGGCCAATTTGAGAAGAGTCTTCTGTCACGGATTGTGTTGCTAGTTTTCCTTTAAACACAAAGATGAAGTAGAAGTATATGAAGTATAGACATATACTTTCTGGATAAAATAAAGGAATTGGAAGTGAGTCCGGGAGCAAGGCTCTTCTCAATGGATGTTGAGAACCTCTATACCAACATCGAGACCAAGAAGGGACTGGAGGCGGTCTCGAAAGCTCTTTCCCATTACCCGGTGGAGGGAAGCCCAGATGAGTGCCTTTTGAGACTTTTGGAATTGACCTTGACAAAGAATGACTTTGAGTTTAACGGGGAATATTTCTTACAAGTCAAAGGTACAGCAATGGGCAAGCAGTTTGCTCCTGCCTATGCGAACATTTACATGGCAGACTGGGAGGAGTCGGTTTTCAAAAAAATGCAAGATTCTACCTACTGAGTACTCTAGGTACTTGATGAAGATTGGCTGGAGTTTATCCATACACTCAATTCCCACCATGCATCAATCCGTCTGAAATGGGTATAGGAAACGGATAGTATTGATTTTTTGGATATCACCATTTTTAAGGGACTGGAATCGGCAGAAACTGGGAAATTAAGTACCAAAGTTTTTTTTTTTTTTTCCAAACCCACGGATACCCATGCTTTGCTACATAGAGGTAGCCACCATAATCCTTCTGTTTTTAAGGGATTAATAAAAGCTCAGCTTTTGAGGATCAGAAGAATCTGTTCTAAGGAAACAGATAGGGTGGAGGCCACTAAGATTCTTCTGAAGGCTCTGAGACGTAAAGGGTACTCACAGAGTTTTCTGAGGAGAGTGGTTAAGGAGGAAAGTAGGATGAGGGAACATAAGTAAGAGGTCCACGAGGAAGATTCCTTCTATTGGTTCTGCAGTTCTCAAAAACAGCCAAGAAATTGACCTTTGAACTAAGACTTACCTGGGAGGAAACACTGGAGAACAGTTTCAGGATGGTGGCGGCCTACAAGAGGGGAAGGGATTTGCGGGACATTCTAGTTCATAGCAGACTAGGTCCCACTAACAACAGAATTCTCGAGAAAACAGGACATCCTCGTTAGAGGACGACAGAGGGGAGTGTATAGAATTGCACGAAACATCCCACTTAATCGAAAGAACTGTGTTTACCTGATTAAATGTTCCCTATGCAGGAAAAGGTACACGGTACAAACTAAGAATTCTATTCTTACAAGAATGTGGGCCTACCGTTATGCGATCAGGAAGGGGACCGGTAGGAAGGGACACATTGTTCCTCATTTTGGAAGTCATGATCTACAAAACTTGAAGATCTTCGGGTTGGGTTAGGATGTGAGGATTTTTTTTTTTTTTCTGAAGCTGTTTATGTAAATACTTACATTGTTTATGATGCCTATACATTCATATTGTAGATTAAGCATTTATGATGCCTATACATTCCTATTGTAGATTAAGCATTTAAGCATATATTCCACATACAAAAATGTGTGTTTAAACGTTGTTTATAAAAATCTGTGAACATTAATGAGATGATAATATGTATGTGTAAGGTATAGCAAATTATCTAGTGCAACCAGTCAAATGATAAGTATGTTTTACAGGGCCCTGTTTTAAGTACAGAACCACAGGAAGTCTAAGGAGTTACCACTTCCTGTATCATGCAAGAAGCCCTTCTAAACTCACCTTATACCATGACTGATGTCTTTTTAGCTTCTATTGGAAACAGGAAATCATTGTTTAAAGACACCATATCATAAATTACTTCAATAATTTATACAATGTTTACTTGGTGTGACAAAACCTTTAAAGCCAATTGTGAATTGTCATTTACCACCCATTATACTTTCATAATGTGAGTTGAGATGCTGAATATCCAGCAAAGATAACATGTATGACATTTTATTTATCAGACAGGAACTGATTGGATCATGAAAGTGGATGTTACATGCAATGAAGCGAGACCAAATGAAAGATAAAACAATGCTAAACAATACCTAAATCTGGTCCCCATGAGGATAACTGCTTATAAATCACACTTTGTGATGTTTTTTGAAATTGTAAAAATGCAGAAAGCTTTCTGATAGGTAGGTTTAGGATTAGGATAAAA